GCCAGAATCTACTAGGATCCATAGAATCCGCCAGAATCCATGAGGAGCCGCGAGAATCCAAGGAGCCAGGAGCCGCTTTTTCCCCCTTGGTTTTTTCAGTCTGTAACAACACAGAAAAATAAATCGAGAACTTACGAAAGTCGCTTGTTGCACACTGGCTACAGAATAGAACGTTTCTATCCATCGGAGAGAAAGTGAATAGATAGAAAAAAGCGAAAAAATAATAGTACGCCTTTCGTACACTTGATCTTTCATCTAGAATGAAGAAGCTCGTTATTATTAGTAACGAATGAACTAATAATAAGTCTTTGTTTTAGATGAATAATCCATACAATGCCGGTGATAGTGATTTACCACCATCATACGCCCAAACGTGCCACCACCACCACAAATGATGGCAGGCCTGGTATGTTTCTTCAGCTCGTAATATTTTTTAAATTAGCTCTATAGTTTTAGGCTGGCCTTTCAATTCAATCAGTCTTGCCAATGATAGGTAAATACTTTCTTTATTAAATTATTACTTTTTTATTGATAATCTTACTTTGATATTAGGCAGGGCTGTCGGTGGTGGCGGTGGACATCCAGGTCGAACATTCCGGCCCCCGGATCCCGTAGCATACTCCAGGGAATATGCGGGAAAGTCACCATATCCTGCAGGAAAACAACGGAAATCGCTGGAACATGGAAGCAGTATTCCGGTTAAAAATACGGCCGGACTTTTCCGGCGAATTCCTGCCAAGTTTCGGTGCTTTCCGGCAGGAATTGATCGGAAATCGCCGGAAAAAATGTGAAACATTTTCAACCGAAATACTGCTTTCACAAAATCAACGGAACTACCTGGAACCGACCGTTTCCCGGCCAAGTTTGAAAGTTTAATATTCGTCGACAGGGGTACCCAGGACAATCATTCCGACCGCCGGAACGGTCATCTTAACAGGCCTGAAACGGCTATGAAATGGTATAACAAGCCGTTAATTGTCACCTTATTTCGCGGTAATCCGTCAGCTCGTTTTACGGGCAGTTTTTTCCACTAGAAAACGGCCATCGTTTTTAACAGTATATTCGTCGTTTTCCGAGCTGACGGAAAACGGCGCCGTTTTTCAACGTTTTATACCGTTTTTACGGCCATTCGCGCACCGTTTTCTTGGACCTGGGCAGTAGTATAATTAACAGAAGCTCCCAGCGATTTATTCAGTTTTCCTATGCGTAAAAATATATTTATCCAAACAGTTTTTCCCTGTATACGGTAAAGACTTGAACAAAGAGAATTCTTTCCTTCGAACATCATTCGCTCTTTTTTTCTTACATTTCTTTCGTTAACTTGTCCATATATGTGAAACTTGAAACTTGAATATTCAAGTTTCAAGTTTGACACTACTGGCAAATGTTAGACAAACAACAGAAGCACTTATTGTTATATAACCACCACCCCCAACAGTGAAAAAAACTCGTCTTCTCATTTTAATATACACTAAATCATGCAAGAAGTATCAAACAATAATTGTAAAGCATTTTCACGTGTGGAAAGACATCCTGTGTCTAGTTTGAAAGCTTATGATATTTCGGAAGAAATTTATGATCATGTCATTAAGTTAAAGCACATCTGTGATTGAAGATAAATATATTTCTACAAGGGCGAATGAAGGGGAAAAGGTTGTTTATGATGACGCATCGTATCATCATATCATTTTTTAGTTGAACCATTGATAACATTTTAATTGTGGAGAAAAATAAATTTGTTAAAAATAAATATCAATAACAAGAATTTTTATTGTAATTAAATTATAACATATAGAAGAACAAGCTTAATTAGATTAATGGAGGTACATCAGGATCATCGATAAAATCTGCTGAATTTTCTCGTTCTTTTTGTGAATTTGGTTTTGATTTCATATGTGAACTTTTTTTATTTTGATTTACAATTTGAGTGTAATCAACGGTTGTTGATGGATCTTTACCAAGTTCGAGATAAGTCGATTGTGTAGAACTAAAATTTAAAAAATAAATTGAATAGAAAAATGAAATCTTTTTTTTTCATACGGTTTATTATTCTCAATTCGAGCTTTTGTTTCCATTTTAATATTTGATTGCTTTAATTTAGGCATTTTAATGACTAAATGTCCTGATATTTTCGATCGCTCAGCTACTGATTGTGTTGTATTGACTTCTTCGGGCAAGACTAATTGTAGAATCTATAGATCGAGAAGAGTAGTAGTGTCTATAGCTATGTAATAATTCATCAAGTCCTACTTTCCCTTTAATTGTAACTCGAACATAAAGCGGTTGAACATCAACATCGACAAGCGATGTATCCATATGACGAAAAACAGCAACATCAAGAATAACATGTCGATCATCATCACTTTCAAGCATTTTAAAATCGACTCTAAATAATAATAAAACAAAAAATTTTACAATTTCTTACAAGTGAAAATTCAAAATGATTTACTTAGGTTCATTACAGTTCAGTGGATAACCATCATTGCCAATATATTGTCGTACAGGTTTTGGCTCGGACTTTTCTCTACAGAAATGAAAACATTTATAAAAATGATTTTGACTTTTTAGTTTTAAATACGAACTCTTTTGATTCACGTTCGCGTTTCTTTTTCGTACTTTCATGCGTTTCAATACGTGATTCTGGTGTGTATTCAGATTTGCGATCCCAATAGCTAAAAGATAACAAGAATAAAGCAAAATTAATTTTTCTCATAGGTCCTACTTTTCATCAGCTTCACGTTCTGATTTCGTTCGTTCGAATTCACTTTTTTGATTTTTCTAAAAAACGAAATTCATGTGAACTAAAACAATAATTCATGAATGTTACTCGTTTTTCCGCATATTGTCTGTCTAATTCATCGATTCGCTTGGAAATCTTGCCATATTTCTAAAATAGATGTGTAAATAAATGATAATCAAATCAATCGTTCTAAATAAAGTAATGTTGACTTATGATAGGTATGTGTTTGTCCGTCGAAGAGTGTTACATAATGAGCAATAGCATGATACTGATTTGTTTTATGTATACAAAAGTATTCTTATCAAGTTCATTGGAGAAACATACTCAAGACTGTTCATTATCGATTTAGAAAGAAAAATCTATAGATTTTCTTTTCTTTTCCATATCTTTTTGAAATCTATTTATGTCTACCAATAAAATTTTGTTAATAGCTTACTTGTAAAGCTAAAATTCGTTCAGTTTTTGTGATTTCGTTTCCGTCTAACTTCTAAAACATTGAAAATCAATAAAATATAATTGTAATCACAAGAAAAACTAACTTGTAATTGTGGTAATGTAGCAATAACATAATCACGATAGCCTTCATGATCTCCACATGGATTACCAGTTAGATATCTGGATTAGATCCTAACTTATTTTATAGATCATTTAAAACAAAAACTAACTTACAAATCAACTAGATGAATATTATTACGAAGATTTTCAACAGACGATAATATGCCAATGAAATTTAATGTTAAATCAAGTTTATTTAACGATTCGCATCCTAAAAAGTCTAGATTGGAAACAGGTATTTCAAGAAGATTTTCTTATTTACCCTCAAGATTTTCAATATATTCAATATTATTCAATGCTAAATTGATATATTCTAATTTTTTTAATCGACTAACATTCTCTTTACAAAAAAATCAAATGAGCATAGAAAAATAATTATCGTAAAAAAAAAGAATATTTCTACCGATTTTTGAGATAAGATTGCTTTGTAAATAGATTATTCGTAATTCTCGACACCATTTATCCAAATATTCAATTCTATAAAAAAAAGCTCAAGAAATTTGTACCATAATTTTAAGAATGAAGTTAAACAAAATCATACTTTTCAATATCTTGTTGATGAAGTGATACTTCTTCTAGTGTTGATAGTTCTCCTTCATTGTGCTCCGCTCGTTTACGAATTAAACTTTCTGTAACTAAAAATTATCCTAGATTTCAACAATCATTCATAAAAAAAAAAGATTTCTACATACTATAAACCATGATCAATAATTAAGTTTGTATTATTATTATTATTATTATTCGTTGAACCACGTGTAAGAACTGAATTAAAACAAGTATCAACATCACTTGGCAGTGGCCTCTACTTTCAGTCACTTTGAGACTAGATGGCGCAAAGTCACTGGACACGTTTCAACAGTTTTTTTCTCTTTCGCTTTATTGCAGCACCCACTGAATATTTGCAAGTTTGTTTTCGTAGTCTTCTGATTGTTTGATTTATTTAAGATTGATAAAGACGTGAAAAATTCAGCAATTTGATGTATTCGTCTATATCAATTGAACATGCGATGGCACACGAGTGTTTCGACTGTACAAACGATATTTTGAACACATCATCCTGCAAGCAAACACTTCGTTTTTCAATTGTATCGACGAAGAGGATTGAATATAGCGATTGTTCCCCTTTTTAAAAGTGATAGAATGATGATTTTCAAAAATATCACCAAAGTCGAAATAGACATAAACAGCAAGCATGCTGTATACTGATTGTGATAATTATCAATCTTTTGGGTGTTGGAGATTATTATCAGCGTTTAAAATAGTAAGAACTCACAATTTTTTTCTATAGAAACGTACTTTTTTTATTGTTAATTGAAACGACTGATTAAAGCACATTATCTTATAAGAAAAGTTTTTTTTTGAGGCATTACATTTATTTTGTGATCAATCGATGAAAAAGAAAAAGCAGCAATAACAAAAATTTGAAAGAAAAAAAACAATTAGCTAGTGAATGTTCCTCTTAAACCCATTCTTTTGGTTCTTTTAAAACCTTCATCAATTTCATTTCTGGTGAATCCGCTTCGAAATCCCATCCATATCTCCACTTGGCAACAGGCGGCAATGACATAAGAATACTTTCTATTCGTGAGCCAGGTGTTTGTAAGCCAAATTTAGTACCACGATCTATTGCCAAATTGAATTCTGCATAACGTCCACGTCTTAATAATTGCCAATCACGTTCTTGTTCTGTAAATGTTCGTTGACAATTTTTTTGTACTACTGGTATATACGATGGAATAACTGTATTTGCACAAGCCTTAACAAAATTGAAACATGCTTCATGACTTCCTTCATTGAGATCATCGAAAAATATTCCACCAATACCACGACGTTCATTTTGACGGAAATTTATATTGAAATAATCATCACACCATTTTTTAAATTTTGGATAGTACGAAGAATCATGTTTATCACAAGCTTTTTTCAATGTCGAATGAAAATGTTTACAATCGCTTTCATCGAGATAGTAAGGTGTCATATCAGTACCGCTAAAAGATAAAAAAATAAAGTGTATTCAATTATTTGATAAAGAAAATTCACGCTTACCCACCATACCACCAATGTTTTTTTCCATCAGCATCAATTAATTCGAAATATCGATAATTAAAATGTACTGTTGGAACATGTGGATTTTTTGGATGGATAACCGATGAAATTCCAGTAGCAAAAAAATCCAATGGTGTATTTTTAGCAGCAAAATCATGACCACGTGCTCTCATTTGTTCTACTGCTTGAACAGGTAATTTACCATGAACAACTGATATGTTAACGCCTGCTTTTTCAAATACAGCTCCATCTTGCATAACACATGTTATACCACCGCCACCTTCTTCTCGTATCCAACGATCGACTTTAAATCGAACATCACTATTCTGTTTTGCTTCACATTGTTCCAATGAATGACATATTTGTTTTTGTAATTTTAATATGAATACTTCCATGCGGGATTTATATGAATTTGCATCACTATTTTGAAGCGCATCTGAACTTGTTATTGGTTCAGCCATGAACAGTTCGAATGGTTTACCGAGAAAACTATCCGATACATCAGTATCAAGTGAACGTGGTGTTAAACGAAAAATGTCAAGCATAGCAGCATGATGTTTACTCATTGGATTGTGAACGTAATACAAAGTACCAGCGGTAGCCATACCTAATGCGTATGGTAAAGCAGTTCTGGTTTGCCTTGCCATACGATTAAATGATATAACGCCGAATATTGCTGCTCGGCTGAACGACATTATCTGAAAAACAGAACAAACATTTTATTGGTACTATTCAACAGTTTCATCTGCTTTTCTCTTTTTCTTTTTCTTTTTTTCTATATTTTGTTCAAGTAAAATTTCAGAAGAAGCGGAAAAACTACGTTCTTCTTGTTCTTGTAAGCGTTGTAATTTTCCATTCATACGAATTCCATGACGAGCACCTCTAGAAAAAACAAAACAATGGTTCGAACATTTTTCTAACAGTCAACACGTACTTATGAGCTGTTCGACCGCCACATATTCGATGTAATTCTTCATCAGTTGGTCTGAACAAAAAAAAACAAATAAAAAACAATTCTATTTGATTTAGTAACACAAACGTACAATGAAGAAACATGGACTTCAGTAACAACAGTTTCTTGTTCGACTCGAAGAGATTCTTCTTTGTTACCCATTAAAACTGAACTCTAAATAGACATAAAAAATAAATGTTAGTATTCAATGTGTGTATTAACTCACTTTTTCGAATCGAGAATAGATAGATTTTTTTGAACTTTCTTGTTTATCTTCGGAATGTTTACGTTTCTGATCTTTTTTCTCTTCACCTTGTGATTGATCAAGAGATTCAGAAACTTTTTTTGCAGCTCGATTATACGAATATTCCCACCATTTGAATTCACTAGAATATTCATCTTTTTGATTGCATCCAACCTAAAACTAAAATGTAAAAACAAACGAACGAAAACAAAAAAGACAATAAATCCAAAGCAAATAACTTTGTCTTACTGAATGTTTCTGAATTATTAGGAAATAAACGTACCCCTCGATTATCGAATTTCAAAACTGCTTTAATAGGTGTTTTCATCCCTTGATTATCTTTACCAAGACCTTTATCTAATCGAAAAAATATTTCAAGCACGAAGAAAAAAAAAATTACCGTCATCCCAACCATATTTTCTTAACATTCTCTCAGCAAATTCCATCTTTGATACGGTGTCTCAGATGTGTACGAGAGAATCTAAAAATAATACACATAGAAATTCGTATAGAAGTTTCATTACACGATAATAAATGTAGAACCGAATAATGATACTACTTGTTTTACTTATTTGACATAATTACTTGCTTCATTGACAAATCAACAGTTAGTATTTATTTATTTTTCTATATGGATATTAATGACATCTATCGTCACAAAGCTTATATTCATCATTATTCTGTAGATATATAGTATAACTTATCATAAATTTTCTTTTACTATCGAACAGAGATGGGCAACTCACCGATTTCTTTAACTCCAGTCAAGTCAAGTTATTCTCAAAAATTTCAAGTCAAGTCACGTTGAAGTTCAACCCGATTTTCACCGAATGCTCTTAAATTGAAAGCAAATCATCGACAACATTGTTTCCTTGACCCATATTATAGTTTTACTATCGTTTTCTAACTTATCAATCAATTTAATTCTTATAAAACAAAGAAAAAGTGTATTTTCGTGAAGCAAATTTTTGGGAAATGAAACATCCAATAGAAATTGAGAAAAAAGATTTTGCACATATTTTAACAGCCGTCCTGTTATTTCACCATGTGAGCATATTTCCTGATCTTCATTTTTATTTTCCATTATATTTCAAGTTAGAAAATCAAAATTGAAGTGAATCGAATACCTTCAAATATTCACATTCTTAGACTTGACTTGCCTTTTTTTATATACGATCAAGTCACAAGTCAAGTCAAGTCTTTTTTTAAATCTCAAGTCAACTCAAGTCAAGGCATAATTGATTCAAAAAATGTCAAATCAAGTCGGAGTCGCTTTGAGTCAAGCCATTCCTAAAAAACTCCAAGTCAAGTCAAAAATGACTTGACTTGCTCATCTCTGCTATCGAAAAAGTGAAAAGAAGCCGCTGTAAAAATCTAAATTAATATTTCTTATACCTGTTGATGTTATTACTGAAATAAAGACATGAAGATGATTGTAATAAATAAATAATAGTGTCGTACAACATGGTAGTGTCTGTTTATTAAAAAGTGATATAAAACAGATTGAATAATGAAAATATTTATATAAATATATTTTTATTTCGCATAATATTTATTATTACAAATTATACTTGTTTTTTTGTTAACTACCTATGTGCAAGTAATAAATAGTTAGTGAAAAAAAAAGCTGTAATTGCTTAGTTTACTAGCGATAACCAACTATTTATTTTACCATTCAACTCTATCATCTTTCTAGCGATGCATTTTGTATGAAGTACCTTTTTCATTCAAATTCAACACACCATGATTATATAGCTGGTCATCTATAAAGAGTTCTCTCGTACTCTATATTCTTTCTTTTAATCAAAGCGATAATTAAAAAATTACAACGGAAGCCTCGATAATTTAAATGATGTGTTAGAAGTCATATTAAATATAATATACAAAGCTCTAATAATAACAATAAGCACGTAAATCTTCTTTATTCAATGCCGCTAATTATAGAAGACGACGAATCTCGTGATCTTGGTTGAAGCTGTTTCTTTTTCTTTAATTTTTAATGTAGAACCACTGCTGTAGACATAGAACATGACAGATAAAGAACATTTTTTGAAAACTAACGGAAAACAACAAGAAAAAATTATACAAAACAAAATAGGTACGAATAATGTTTTGCTCAGAAGACGTAACTGTATTAGGGGATCAATTGATTTGCATGAAAATAACGGATAATAATCTTATCAATATGACCTTTTTTCTATTTATAACAAGAAGCATCCATCAAATTGATATTGATTCAATCGAATTGTGTTTCTTTGCTGTTTCATTTTTTATTAGAAATTGTTTCTTTTGTCTATAGACTGTAATTTCAAACTTAACATATAAACTAATCGATTCTGTTTAGAAGCTTATATTTGCAGACTTGACGTGCCATTCTGTACATGAAGACTAAAAAATAAATACAAATGATGTCATTGAATATTTTTATTTTCATTATATCATTGAGCGGATCAAAGTGTTTGAATTTCTTCTTTTTCGTGGTATAAATATCATTACATTCATTTTAATCTTTATCTTTTATGCCTAACCTTTTTCTTTGTTGAAAAGATCAAACTATTGATATCATTATCAAATGAAAAGTAATATTCAAGCTTATTTCACATAACAATAAAATCAAAGCTAATTTAAATTTATGTTTTTTTTAAATATATCCATTGATTTACACACTTAAAATTGAATATACAAAGTAATGTATACACAAAACAAAGACACAATAAGAATCTAAATTTAATGAGATAATAAACCTCGTTCCACCTATATAAAATTCATGGATCACTCGATGAACTACAAGAAAAAAAACCAGAATCGATACAAACAAGACAAGACAAAGCTGAAATAGATAGCTATATCTAAAGGGAGAGAGAGAGAGGGCGATGTTTCTTTTCAAGTCGATCCTGAGCAATGCTAATTAAACACAACAGAAAAAGAACAAGCGAAAATGTATTTTGGGAAATAGAATAAAGATGTCTATTTATTATTTCTTTTTTTCAGTTCAACTACCCACGAGAAACTGCTGTATATCCGGCGCGTGCACGTTGAAATATAAGAGCATATATAAGAAGAGCGAGAAATACTGCACCAGCACTAGCCAATGCTAAAATAGCCACACAAAAAATGGTTTTTGATTTTGTTTGAAAATAAGCAGTAGCACAAGCATCTTTCATCTCTGGTTTATTGTCAGTATTTCCTTCGCCGCCTAAAAACAAAGTTGATAGAACAAAAAATAAAATAATAAATTAAATTTTTCATACTTGGTTTACTAGAAGAACTTGCTTGTTGTTCTCCTTCCGAGTTTGCGTCTGATGGACATGAAATACAGCAATTGAAGTACTAGAATTTTTCAAAAATATTGTAAAAAGCATCCATTTTAAAAAGAAAAATTCTTATACTTTATTTAAAAATTCAGCCTTTTTCTTGATGTCTGATTTAGTAGCATCTGTTGACTCTTTTAATAATTTGATATCCGTATCAATACTTTTTTCTAAGTCACCTGTTTTAGATGAAACCATACCCCAAACACCAATAACCGCTAAAAAAAAGGAAAATAACAAAAAAAGAACTCATGAAAATCTAGTCCTACCAAGTACTACTAATAAAAGAAGTAACAATACAAGGGTTACCAAACGTAAAGGCGAAACATCCTTTAGGGCACCAAATACACCCAAAAGTACCGCTATTATTAATAAGCCACCCGCAGTGATTAGTACGATACTTGTCATAAATAAATTAATGCTGCCAAAATTATTATTAAAACTCATATTTCGACTTAGTAATAAAATTCCATAAATTAATGAGACCAAACCGCTTCCGAGTGTAAATATGGCAAAGGTTCCTGCAAAAAAAGGAAGAGATGGCGTACGAAAAGTGATTTTTGATTTATCTTCCTGTTTGAAAGATCTACCTCTATTTCCTCTTTTATTTTTCTTCTTATTCACTTCGCATTATCATGCTTCAATAAATCTTTTGAAAAACAAATGTAAGACTTAACGAAGAGAAAAATGACGACTTCGCATGTTAGCAGACTTTTGGTTATGAAGAAAACTTTTTATCAAACTAGAAAATTTATATTAATAGTTTTAGACATTCGACTTACCTAATAAACCTTTCGAAGTACCATCGATTTCAGTTGCCATTTAATTTAGTTAATTAGTAGTATATATATCTAAATAAAACAATTTGTTCAAATTGTGTTTTTGTTTCAAATCTAATAATCAGGAAGTAACAGTAAAAAAAAAGAGAAAAGGGAAAAAAAAACGTTCTTGAGGTTGTCGACGCGGTCGCGCGTTTTGTTTTATGACTCTGATATAAAGAGATGAATGATGTTGAAAAAGAATATATAGAAAGCCTCGTTTTTCTCTCTGTCTCTCGCTTTTTTCTTATATATATGATATAACTTACAAACGATGAAAAAAAATGGAATTTTCTGCTCTTGTATTCTCTGTCTCTCAAATGTCCGGTTCAATGTGAAAATGACAAGAAACAATTAGGTTTTGTCTGCTTACCCGTATCGTATATGTGTGAATAAAGGTAGCACACCTTTTCTAACTACAGAACGCAAATGAAAGAATGAAGAAGAAGACGAAGAAGACAAGAGAGAAGAGAGCACATCGTCTAACTTTGGCATTATCCCTTTTTCTTCTCTAGTACACAATTCGAAATTTGAGCGAGTTCGACGACGACGACAAGACAAACTTTGAACTAGTCAAGCAAAGGGACAACAAGAAGAAGAAGAAATAAATGAATCTGAAGGGAGGATGTCTAACTATATGTATACAATGGATGCGAGCTCGAAAGAAGTGTTGTTCGTTGAATAAAAAAAAATGAATGTATGCTTAAGGAACAGAGAAACAAATGAAGAAGATTCATCGTCACAACAGTAATGCCGGGATAGGTTTATGAAGAGCTAAATTAAAAAAAAAAGAAAAGAGAAAGAGAGAGAGAGAGAGAAAGAAAGAGAAAGAGAAAGAATGAATACATAACTTAACTAAAGGGTTACTAATATGATTAAACTAGAATAAAGACAACGTCAACGTATGTCATCTTCGCTGCATAGAAGAAATAAGAGAAAGTATAAATGTGTGTGACGCACGTCTCATAGATTCTTCTTGATTTTAAAGTAAAATTATTTAGTTTTCTCGCATGAATGATGATAGAGAAAAGATATTCTAGCACACACACACACACACAGAGAGAGAGAGCAACATTGGTCATTGTTGTAAGTATAACTAGTGTTTGGCACGCGTTTCTTTTTTACAATGAGGAACATGCAAATGAGAACTGCGTGAGTTATAGTGATGGTTTACATCAATGTCTACTGTCTAGTCATGCAAATTCAATTACATTTAGGATGACAATGTTTGCTCTTTACTGTGCGTTTGTGTTTATATTGAACACACAAACCAGAGAACAAATCAACAAAATACGTGTCACAACAAGCACCTTTCATGTATATAAGACAATACTAAATAAAAGAGAAAAATGTCGATACTCTTCTCAAATTATGTTTACCGAGTATAGAAAAGGAAGGCGAATCAATTAATGACATGTCATCGTAGCAAAAATATCAACGATGTCTGTATGCATTATCTTTTTTAATGTTTACTCCTTGGTTATAAATTTGAAAATATCTGTAAGTATTTGAACTAGAATGTTCTTTCTTTCTTTCTGGAGTTTTCTTCATTGAAATAGATGGTACCTATTTGAAAACAATCAAAAGATAATTTAAAAAAAGAATTTTTAATTCAGTCTATTTGACTTATTTAAATTGCATTTTATTACTCATGAGTAATCATGCGAATTGAATACATGCGTTTCATAATGTGCATAGAAAAAAGTAATGCAGGAAAAAATGCAGTTCATTTTTAATACTTCGAAACTATTGTTCTCGTCGGGTACAGCAAAAAATTGATCGACAACAATTGAAAATTAGAATTCGATATTTTCTGCTAAACCAACTGTATATGATAGGAGTATGAAAGCAACTGCTGATACCCAACCAATAAATATAATGTTGAATGATTACATTTGTTGGCTTGTGGTGAAATTTTAGACGATGAAATAAAAAAGTCCCGCACATGGATAAAATGTACAGGTAAATGAGATAAAGCAAAAAACAATAACAATAACCATTAATAAGCGTATTGAACGTGTCCGTGATTGATCAAACCTCCGAAATTTTTGTACGCCAATAATAGACCGATGTGCTATTGTTCGCATTGTTAGTATACGTACAACTGTGTTGATAAAAAGTGGTACTATATAAAAGAAACATGTGAGGCAAAATATACGTATTTGATGAATATAACTAATTGAAAAATATTTAATTTTTAATGGAAAACGCATTTGACAACTAATGAATTGACGATATGAATTAAAATATATGTTAACTTCCGTCGATGCAAGGCAGCTTGTAGAAAACAAACCAGACAAAGTCCATATAAATAAAAGAGCTCGACGAGAGTTTTTTCGACGATATTCTAATGGATTTTTTACACGATCTGTCTAAGAGTTTCCATTGATTTACTTAACAGACATATGTAGGAACTGAAAGGAAATCTTTCTAGAAAGCGTTTTGAACAAAATATCCATTGTGTTGGTATTGTTAAATCGAAGAGTCCATCAGCTATGACAAGATTACGTGAATATATACTGGATTTACTTAATGATTTGTGTTTATGTGATTGAGAACGTTTATTATTACGACTTTTTAAGCTCACTAGATATACAAGCCCATTGCCAATAAGTGCTTAATAGTGATGCTAGAGCCAAGAGTAGTAGCAGTAAAGTATCTTGTACAAGTACAAGCTGATTCATATGTTAATCATATTCAATTTTTATAATAAATCGACATACAATAGGCAGAAATTTTTAACAGTAATGATAATGATGTTTTTTTTTTCTTAAAAACAAAAACAACAATTGCTTCGCATGATGATCAATCAACTATGTTGTTTTGGTTTTTCTATCAACTATTCAAGAATAAATTAAAAAAAGAAAATAACAAGCAGACTAGGTGTTACTATGAAAGAACGTTTCTCTTTTCGCTCGGATACTTTCTCTTTCTATCCAAACAATATTCTCACAGTGACCTTTTTTTACTTAATAAACTTAACTAAAAATTTCCGCACATCTTCCTTTTGTCTTCCTAGAAATGAGGCAGAGCCGTCTACTTTTAAAAAAACCTCAACACAAGATATTTAATGAAATACTTTGCCAAAAATATCTTCATTTCGACTAGAGATGAAGATTTAACTATAAAATCCAATAGGCTTCACTTGAAGGTATTCGTGATCGTTCGAATTTAATAAGAAAATAGCCTCAATGCATTTTTATACAAGCCCTAAATATATTTCTATTTTTATTTGTTCAACATGGATAAACAATAGATAAATCTACTTCCGACCTTTGGACGGCCTTTAGTTGGCCAATAGAATTAAAAAAAGATCATTCTGAATCGATTTCATAAAAATAAATGATGGCTTCGATTAAGAGTTCTATCTGTCATGATAAAACATGGATGAAATTCATAATTATTACTTTAATAAAAAAAAAACAGAAACGCTGGAATAGTATAGACGAATTTCGCTATATGACGGCAGTACTTTAACATAGGAGATTGTTGAATAAAATATATGGCTAAGAATATCTCTGACAACTTTTCACCAGCATTTGTCTACCGATTTAGTTTTTGACAAGATGATGCTCGAGTAAATAACGATGCTTAGTTATTACAATTAAACGATACGAAATAAGGTGATAAACAGAGAAGTTTTTCATGTGGGAAAAAACATGTGACTAGTGCCATTATTATTTCTACAATTCTATCGTTCGATAGCAATATTTTAAAAGAAAACAATATATTAAAAGTTAAAATTACGTTTGTTTTTTAACAAAAATCTATGATTATGTATTATCCTCATATTCACTGGAACTTTTTTCTATTATTCTCTGTCTCGCGAATCACTATGTTAATGTCGACAGTCACAGAATTTATCCAATTATACAATTGAAAGATCAACTCAGACATGTATGGAGACTGTATTTTGATTTATAGTATTACCAACTTATAAACTAATTAAACGTAATTTTCCACTTTTATGAAAAAGAACATTTCCATGTAAAGAATATCTCATTAAAATGACAGAACAGTATCATGTATATATATTTAGGTCTTCTTTGTTTCAAATAGAAATATCTTACCATTTCGAAATCACATTAAATGCACCTATACTTGGTGTATTTTTTTGCAAAAAAAAGAATTAACTACTACTAATGCTGCTGCTATTCGTTCTCTATCATGATTTCTTTGCTTCTATCGAAACAGTAATCGATATTTGTGAAGATCAAATTATTTGTTTACTCACCCAAAATAGGATTTTTCTGAAGAACAGGTTAGTTCTTTTACCTCCGGAAACTTCTTCACGGGTTCTCTGCAATAGTTTAGCGAACAATTGACAAATATATCTGCTAGCAGTGGCTGCGACTTTTTTTCCAGGTGTCAAGAAACATGATGTCAATGATTCGTTATGGTTCTGTTTCATGAAGATATGAATGAATCAGTGAAAACCATATCTCAATGCTGTCTTGAAGAATATATGACAATACTTTATTGGTTATGTGCTTTTCGGTTACCGCTGGAAGAAAAGGATGCCGGTGTTTGTCGTCTCTTGACTCAACCATACGCGCACTTATAAATATTAGACTGATACAAGTAGCACTTGACCGATATGCTTATAGTACAAAGCGTGAATTAAAAATATGTGACCATTAGTTCTAGTATTCGTAGGTGCTTTAAGAATTAATAAAAGAATCTTCTGTTGAATTTTGATGCAAATAAATACAGTATCTGTCCACAGCTGAAAGACAGTAAAATATATGCTGAAAGAGAACAGATTATTATATCTTCTTGCAATAAAAAGATAAATATTCATTTTTCTTTGAAAACCATCCGCTATTCTGAGAGGTTTCTCTTACAGCAATTCATTTTAGTGATCACCTGTATTTTTATCTTTCAAGTTTATTTCTTTTATCGGTAACTAGCGACAACTATCTATAGAGAACGAAACAATTTGTATAATGTGGAAGATCAATGGAAAACACATTTTATTTCGCAAGTTGAATAAATCATTGATTTCTAAATATTGTTCATATAGAATTTAATTTTAGATCTTTTTTGGTTTATAGTTTTTGAATAAAAACAAAAGCAATATGGTAAACACATTTTCTTCTTCTTAATCGTAATTTTTTTAAATTTTAAAATAATTTCTAGTCTAAAGATAAAAAACTTAAAACAGGTGGTAAACTTATTCATCCAAGCAGTCGAAAAGCCAAGCAGATCTCAAGATTAGAATGTCACGCAGGTCGTGTTGTCAAGTAGGTTTGCATCGATAGCGACACAATTTTCGTATGACATATATTTCACGCGTATTTAGAAAACGTCAAAATACAAAAGCTAAAAATAATAATTTACGTGATAGAGTTCAATGGTTCAAAGATCAATTAAATGAAACTCAACTTCATTTATCAAAACAACAAGTGCATGAACTTGTTCAAAGATATCTTCAACGATTTCAAGATGAACTCGAGCAAATCGAATTGAAAAATCAAATAGGACAACGACAAAAGACCCCGCAATATGCATCACGTAAAGCTTTAATTGAATCAACAATCAATGCTGAAAAACATGAATACGAAACCCATGGCTTTGGTATTTCAAAATTCTATTATCCTCTTTACTTTATCAAATTTTGATTTGTTTTTTTTTCTTCTAGAAGTACCAGAACTCACTCGACCTGATGCTGTAAAAGTACTTCGGTATGGAAGCTTAATTTTTTTTTGTACATAAATATTCATCTCTAGACAAATGCCCTTATCGTCCATTTCGGATTGAATTCAAATATATTTTTGCCATAAGTTGGACCATTCCTACTATAGAAATTTGTACGAAGCAAACGTAGATACCGTACATTATCAGAGAAAATGGAATATCGTTAGTTCTATCGACTTATATTTGTGTTGAAACACGGACATGTAGTTCTGCATAGTTATATTTGGTTTTAGCGGACTGAGATTCAGTGACCAGGAAAGGATTTTGTCACGGTTCATAGTAAAAAAAGAACAAGTATATTCTAATCTTTTCTGTTTTTTTCTTTTCTTAGAACTTGGGATGGTAGTGTTCGATTTATGCCACGTCTTAAATTATGTTTAATAAAACAAAATAATTCAACATCGAACAAAAATGATGCTGCTGACGATGATCAAATTGTTTCAATTGATAACGAAAATGAATCAATGGAAAGTGATGTTGAATAAAACCGTCAAGAAATAAATTCATTGAAAATGATGTTTTTCTTGTCTTTGAAATTTATACGTATATCAATGGCATAATAGCATTATAATTCAATCAGATATATGATATAGCATATATTGAAAAAAATAAATCTAAACGAAACACATGAAGTCATACTTTCGGCATATAATCTTCGGAAAATAAAAGTAAATATCAGAACGCATTCCCACCGTTATTATCGTTCCATATTGTACGACAATGAAGATAAAAGTTTTATTCAATATTAAACAAAGTCAATTTCTAAATTTAATGAACAACGTCAACAAGTGCTAGTAAACAGCAATATTCATGAAATATTGTGCGATTTAATTGGTTGTATGTCATCTATTCATGTGGAGAGTGGTTTTTCTTTTTTTTCAAATTAACTAAAGTGTAGAAAATGACGTACTCTATATAGCTACACAAGGAAATTATGAATTTTATTAGAGAAAAGCTTGCAAATTACTGCAAATCATATAAAAACGTATGCACAAAAAGAATTTGCCAGTCTATTATCAATAAGTGCCACCACCTCTTCAAAATAAGTACTGATGTTTTTATGTCATTTGATTTATTACATAAATTGAGATTCTATAAAAAGAAACAAATTCTAGTTTGATTCATTGCGAATTATTTTATGGAACACTGAAGAATCAAGGAAAAATTGTTTTTACAATATGATCGAATTTTCCTATCTTGAGACATACATTTCTTTTATCTCGGAATCTCAACGCGGTGCGATATTTTTTATATCAATTTTTAAATTACAAAAAGAACTCTGTTAGATTTTTCTATTCAGTCTTCAGTACTGTGAAAAAGAATTGACATCAAAAGTAAGTAGCACCGACCATGCGATGACGCTGTCGATAAAACTTTTATTTTTGTATGAATATTCAGATATTTATGCACTATAACAATCTTTTGTACAACGAACCTATTTGTAAATGAGGTCGCATTATCAAAAAGGAGATTTCCATAGAATTTTATACTCAAGTTTTTCTTATTCTGAAAAGAGAACAGAATAGTTCAGTGAAGCGTTTTTCTTTATAGCTAATGGCCAATTGGCACACATTGAAGAGGACTGCCCATGCTTTTCAAGTGATAGTTTTTTCAGTGCAGTTGTTAATTGCTAAAAGACGTCTGAATGCATAGTTTTTAAGAAAATTATTTTGTAGAGCAACCATTTTAGGAGAATATTATTACTTAGTGTTAGATAGCTCGCAAATGATTATTTTCTCTTCTTTTATTTACACAGGGAAGGTAGAGTCAAAAGAAGTATTTCATTTTGTAACATTACGCAGAGTAAATCAAATCGACGTAAATGAACGCGTCTTTCTTTTTCTCAGTCGATTCTTTTTTGTATGAAGTATGGAGACTACTGATTTGCTAATGTCGAAGACATACGTTTCGACACCTGAGAATGAAAAACGACATTTATTTCCTATTCTTAAGATCTAATTCTTTTCCCATTCATTTAAATATAGCGAACGTAATCAGAAAAAAATCTTCTACGGCAATTTCCTCTCTTCGTTAGGTAGTATAACTAGTTGTGTTTATTAGTTGTCAACGTAACTTATAGTTGATGACGATAAAACCCATGCATGAAACGATTAAAGACACGTTTTGTTTTTCATTTGCCGGGTAACAATAATTCATGAATAATTTTCTTTAGTATTTTTCTATGCCAATCATTTATAGGTAGTACAACGTTATCGGTCTTACCTTCTCTTTTTTTTCTGATCCTCTTTTGGTCAAAAATAATTTATTACCGTTCCTTTTATTTATTGGCATCACTATTGTCGGTAGCTTGTTAAAGTGAAAGAAAAATCAAATTGAACCATGCAAATCAGCGAAACAATTTTACTTATTATCACCACGATAATTACAGTCATATCTGCATTATTTTGTATTATTTCATTGGCAACTGCAAGATGGACAACATTGTACGGTTTATTTTGCACTGGCTGTTCAACATCATCAGCGGGTCTTTCTGTTGTTGCGTTCATATTATTAGTTGCTTCTATCATTGTTCTTATCTTACTTATCATTCGAATTTTACCGAAGTCTACTCGAATTCTATCTCTCGCAGTCCTTTTCATTGCAAGTATCTTCACATTGGCTTCGTTTGCTGCATATTTTGATAGTGTCGTTGGATATTCATACAATTTGATGGTTGTTGCTCATTTTCTATGCTATGCAGCATCGATTTTGACTGCATTTTGGCTTGGCACTTCATATACAGGAGCAATAACACAAGAAAATTGAATGGTAATAATTGGGGGAAAAAAGACTGTAAGACATTTATCATTTTAACTGAATATTTCTTTAACTCTATATTCTGTTTGCACTTTCTGATTTTTTCATTGTAATCCATTGCACTATATTATTTATTATGAATAAAATAAAATTCTTTTTCTTCTTCGAATAATTTTATTTTTGTTGAAATAGAAAAATATTTAATTTCTTCAATAAGTATGTCGAATTAAAACCGCATTGAAAAGGAAAACCAATGATATATATATATATATTTTGTTTTCTACAAAATATGATGGGAAAAGTAGTTGTTCATGATATCATAAAGAAAGGTTTAGATCAAGCGAATATATTATGAGTGTAAATTTTATTATTCGAATAATTTAGAAATATGAAAACGTTACTTAGCGATCTCTATTGATGAATCAAGAAAACAGTGGAAAAACAAATCACCAATCGAAAATCTTATTTCGTCAGTGGTCCAATAACTCAATGAATCAGAGTTTAAAATATTTGGCAGCGCGTACAAAATTTGATCACCGATAAAACAAGTGAAATTCGTGCTTTTGTTTCTTTTTCTTTTTCCTTTTCGTTTCATCTCAAATAATCCGTTGATTAAAAATGGTGAGAGCAATCACTTAAATATTTGCATTCATCTCATATTTTCATTATTTATCATTGAAATAGATGCATGAAGATGTCGATCATGATGACGAGGAGGAAGTCATCCTTGATCGACGTACATTAATTAATCAAGCAAATAATTCAAATTCATTGAGTAATTCTGGCCCAATTCTTCTTGGAGTAAATCGATTTAATATCAAAGTATACGATGATCCTGTTAAATTATCACGAGCGAAAACAATCCTACTAGCAATAACTTGTATATCAATTGTAAGTCTTTCTATCTCTATAAATATTATCTTACTTCCACATAGCACGTAAGTTTTCAGTCATGATTATGAATTTTTCATGGGAATTCTTAGGTTTTGCTACTCTTAACGCTTAGAATTAGATGCAAGGGGGACACGGCGGATTTTTTGAGATTTTAAATCCCAAAATTGAAAAGCATTTCCCTCCGTGTTAATGACGTAGCTTCGATCTGAAATTCTTCCCATATATAGGTTTCATGGTCCATAGAAGCTCCTAAAAGTTTCAACTCGAACAAATGTTTTATTCTTAAAATATTGAATTTTCAAAAAAACTAGATTTTCTGACCGTGCCGTGAAATGAGCATTTCTTGCGCATTCATTATTTTGAGAAGGAAACATCCGTTTGCGCTGAAGATTTTAGAATATTCTACGGGTCATGAGACTTGCATATGGAAAAAAATTCAGATGGAAATTCCATCATTCACGGTTTGGATTTTGGGATTTTGAAAATCCCAAATCCGCCTTTTTCCTCTTGATTAAATGTATTTTTGTTTTTTTAAGGGTATGTTTACTGGCTTATTGGGACCAACATTTCCATTTCTTTCACAACTTATGCCAGCAGATTTATCAGCAGTTATATGGCTTATTGCTATAAAAGCAATTGGATTTCTTATTGGAACTCTTTTAAGTGCTTATCTTTACGCTTGGTAAATTTTTTTCTCTCTTGAATTCTGAAGTATAACTTCTTTTTGCGTATCAATAGGTTTAATGTTTGTTGTCTACTTGGCTTATCATGCTTATCAATCAGTTTTGGTGTTTGTTCTCTTCCATTTATAACTGATTTAGCAACATTTTATTTAACTTCACTTATTCTTGGCATTGGTCTTGGCATATCGTATAATGGTAAAAAAAGAGAAGATGCCGATTTTAATATTTTCGAGTAATAAATGTATTAATTGATTATAGGTATAGATGCACTCTACAATCGTTTATGGACTCGATCATCCCTGGCTTCTATTCGATGGTTACATTTATTAGTTGCGCTCGGTGCCATTCTATCGACATCAATGCTTTTTCCATCGAATATTTCTAATGTTAATGAACTTTCGTTAACAACAGTTACTACACGTATTTGATTTCTTTTAATACTAGAAATTTCTTATGTTATGCTTTGTTTTTTTTAAGAGCAAATTCGACCACGTCGACAAGCCACTAATGAAATAGCTAATTTACTGGCTTCAAGATTACCGAAAATTGATGATATATTATCTAATGAGACAAATACATCAACTATACTTAACAATACAGATGTTACTACTGATTCATCTTTGCCAACAACTACAACAGCAAAACTCGTATTAAAACCGTCAGTCGTTGAAACTGATGGTTTAAAACAGTCGAATGTTGCTAAACCAGGAGTCGGAACTGACCAATCCACTACTAAATCACCATGTATGAAATCCTATTGTTGTTTTAATTCTAATATTACAACTCAAAATCAAACAATAATTAATAATACATATTCTTGTCAAGAAAATGATGTCAATCTCTCCGATGCTTGTAAGACTACTCTATCATTCTGCAAAAACTCATCATTACGAATATGTCTGCTGAATACAATGAATATTTCATGTCGAATCGATCAAGTTTGTGGCAACGATAAAAAAATCGAATGCTCATTACAATCAATCAATGATGCTATTTATGCAAGCACTTCGACAACAACGATAGTCACATCAACGCCTACGACAACGATAAATACGACTTTACTTATTACTACAACCAATCCACCTACAACAACAACAACAACTAGTACTATTTTACCCACAACAATTACAACAACCACGACAACAGTAACAGCAGCGACTACAATAACAATAGTGACGACAGCAACAAGTATGCTATAAAAATTGAATCTGTTTTGATCAATCGCTATTATAGTGCAGCAATGCGTATTACATAAAGACTAATTGATTATGCATGTTTTATCACTTCTCTCAAGGGGGAAAAAGCTGATTTAAATCACAGTAAAACTCAACTTACAATCAATATAAATTAACTGTATTGGAATGAGTTTCGGTGCCTTTGAATGATTTTCAGTAATAATTTATGATTTGGAATAATTTTTAGTTAGTTTAGCAAATTTTTCGTTTTCTCAAACTCATTTTAAATCAGCTAAACTCAGAAAAATCATGAAACTCATAAATCGCTTTTCCCCCCTTGACTTCTCTCTTTCAATACCACTATAGGCGCACATGTAGCTCATATTCTTTTTGTTCTGGATGAAAGGAAGTAAAACAAAAAAAAATTTGAAGCTTCGTCAGTAAGCTGCACTCCTACAGGTCTCTTTGAATATTATACTAGAATTTTACGCCAGGAGATTTGCGGTATTCGATTGGGAAAATGCCAATCACAATCCGAAGCGATTATTCATTCAGACGACATTAGATCAAGGACGATTCGTCACGAATTTGTCTCCTGCGCATTGATTAGACATGTGTGAACTTCGAGGCACATCAATACATTTCTTTTTTGTCTACCCGATGATTATTGATAATAATCTCTCTGATTTTCTTTTAGCTCCAACAACAACTGAGACTACAAGTAGTTCGACGATGACCACAACTCGTTACAATAAACCGGCATTCGCAAAATCAAATATTGATGATCTATCGAAAAATCTTTTATATGCCAAAATTCTTTCATTTTTTCGTGCAATCACATTAGTCCATTTAATTTATCTCTTCATTGCATTTCTATTTTTTATTCTTGGTATATCCTATTCCACATTGGCTATGCGAGGTGACGGTGTAAATTCAACAACTTCAACGCAGAAAATCAATCTTAATCCACTATCATTATTATTTGGAAATGCTCATCGAACAATAAATACTTCAAATAGATCCGTATCATTACTATCCGATCGTGCTTCACTTAAATTTGTTGTGCTTCTTGTCGCATTTTATTTTATAATGACCGGCATTGAAAGCTCAAGTATTTATTTAACATATTTATTTGGTCGTGAATTAAAATTTGAAGAAAATCAATGCTTACTTATACAATTTCTATTCTTTCTTGGTCTATTATTAGGACGTTTAATTGATATATTGATGGATTATGGCTGCTTTCTATTTAATACTCGTATAACAAATCGAACAAAAAAACAATCAGATAAATTTCATCTAATATCAATTAAATTTTGTATACTTATTCGCTTAATAATATTATTTCTTCTATGTTCAACATTAAGTTTTTCACATTTATTTCAAGAAAATTCTTCTACTAAATCATTTATACCATCCATACGATTGCTATATTTTATATTTTTTCTTATTGGATTATTATTAGCATCATTGCCAACACTAATTTTATTTTGGATTGAACGCGATTTAAGTTTAAACGATTCGCTTATACGTTTTATATTAATAACAATAACAATAAGTGATGTGGTATTTCCATCATTTTTATTCTATACAATAAAACATGTTGTATTATCCTATTTATTCTATTTATTTATTGGTTCATGTCTGTTACTGATTTTGTTTGTGTGTATTTTATATACAAGTAAACATTGGCAAAAAAAGCAATTGTATAGAATATTACCGACATCGATGGAAATGGATGAAGCTAATATAGAAAATCATTCGGATAATAATGATGACGATGAGGATTTCCATAGAACAAATGGACGGATAAATGGCAATGAAACGAAAAACAATATTGATAATGATAGAGTAAAAGGAGCGAAAGGACATTAATAAAAGAAAACTATTTTGAATAAATAATTTTACTGAGCTTCTCGACTATTGTGCTTTTTTTTGAGCTGTTGTTATTTATATTTCATTTCATTTACTTCACCGGTGGATAATGTACGTTTTTTTTTGTTATTTGAGAGAAAGAAGAATACATTGGATTTGATTTTGTGAATTGAAAAACTAGACTGATCGTTTCTTGTGAAGTCGAGCAAATACAGAAACAACGATCGATCTATTATTTTCTTTTCGTGTGAAGGAAATTGTATAAAACGATTCTCATTAATAAATTTTTGATTGAATGTTGAACATAATTTGTCCAGCGTGAAGTTTCATTCTTAGTAAATCAGTTATCTGTTTAGCATATGAAAATTTTTTAACGCGGTGTTAAATTTTTCTTCTGTCACAATACTAAAAGACCTAATCGATCTACATAAATCTCAAAGAAACTTTGATAGCTTCTACAAAGACTGCACTTTCTTTTTGTCATAATCATATGTATTTAAAACTCAAAGTTTATTTACCTTTGACAATAAACCGCACCGATTAGACCGAAAAAGAAATGTCTTGTGATCGATAGAATCAAAAAAAAATCGGAGTTGCCATTCAAAAAAAACGATTTTACTTTCGCAAAAGTAAAAATATGACGGAACGACGCCATTTATTTCTCTTCGTGTGTCTAGTTTCTATTTTATTCACTAGTTTTTACCATGCAAAATCTTTTCAACATATTAATAAAAAATCTCTAGTAACAATAAAACAATTGCCCTATCGAGGTTGTATTGTAACATTAATACGAAGTGATAATCTCCTTAGTTTAAATAAATTATTAAATATGCTTAATTCGCTTAGTTTGTATTTTACTAATATTCATTATTATACAATACATTTATTTCATGAATCTACATTAGCCAATCAAACGAAAGAACAAATATTACGTTGCGCATCGAAATTAAAAATAAAATTTTATGAAATTTATTTTAATCTAACCATTCCATCCAACCGTTCTGGTTATGCATCTATGTGTCAATTTTGGTCGTATGATATCTGGTTTAAATATACTATTTTACAACAGCAATGTGATTATGTGATGAGATTCGATGATGATTCTTATTTAATTAATTTTACACAATACGATCTATTTGAAAAATTTCATAACAATCAACTCGATTATGCATATAGGATTGTTTATCATGACACAAATGGTTTAGATTTTCTTCGAGATAATCTTCGAACATTTCTACCAGCAAATCAAAGTCGACGCGGTTGTATACAAACTGTATGTACATCTTTAAATGGACCTGATGGTTATGATGGTTTAGCTGTTTATAATAATTTTTTTCTTATCCGTCTTAATTTAATGTATGAACATTCAGTTATAGAAACATATTTGAAACAATTGTTGTCTTTAAATGCATTTTATCTTTATCGTATTGGTGATGCAAATATTCAAACGATATGTTTATTACTTGTTGAAAAAGAATTAAAAATATCTTTTCTTAAATTTCCTTACAATCATAATGTACATGGTTCGTCAGACTTTACACCAAGATACATCTATTACGAAAATACAGCATCCGTATGGTCGTATCGTATGAGAATACCGAATATAACATGTCATAGGTTACTAATTGCAGCAAAATATCATATGATAACAAAACTTCTTGATGAAAAAACTTAAGATTGAAATTGTTCAGCGCACGTCTAGAAAATATATACTTTAGCAACAATAGTCTACTTAATAATTCATATTTCGTACATTTATTTCTATAGAACATTGATAAAAGAACCTATCTGATAGACGAATAAAATTGATAAGAAGAGAAGAAAAAAGATCATAGCAGATTGAATGTACCATAAGATGAACGAGTAAAACAGACTGTTGATACACAGATGTGGATGATAAGAATATTTCGAAGTAACTTTTCTTTTCTTCATATATATATATTTATTAATGCGTAGAACAAGAAACACATTAGTGACACATCTATAAACATATTTATTTAAAGATAAAAAAATATTCTTTTTGTATAAAAAAAACAGCATTTTCTAGAAAAACAGGTTGATCAATTTAATGCATAACTTTAGCAATCATCAGAATAGATGCAACAATGGAAACGAAGAATGATCGATTTTCACCAAGAATAGAAAGGCCACCGTGACTTGGTGTCGTATGCTTTGTCGTAGTAGTAGCTGTGGAGTTAGCCGTAGTGACAGTGACAGTTATATTTCCTGGTGTTGTCGTTATTGGTGAAGTTAACGTTGATGTCGTAATTGAAACGGTTATATTTCCCGTAGTTCTACTACTAGTAATTGTCGTAGTGTTCGATGAAGATGAAGTTGAAGACGAAGATTCACTAGTTATTGCCGTTGATGTATTTGATGCTGCACTAGTAGTATCTGAAGTACTAGCTGACGTAGTTCTACGAGTTGTGTTTGTAGGAATTGGCCATGGTGTTGAAGGAGTAGTTGACAAAGTGGTTGTGCTTGATACAATTGGCGTTGTTGTTGAATTACTTTGTACTTCTTCGCACTCCGGCTTGATTTCACCTGTAGTTGAACTATTGCAGGATAATGGAAATTCACTTTTGCATGCATCCAAACAAGCGGAACCATTACACGTTGGAATATCTATAGTGCCATCGTCTATTGGATCACAATGTGTACCTTCACAACAATAGCATGTGCACGAGCCATAAGTATTTGCTGTTGGTACGTATACAGCAACCATAAGACCAAGAAGAAAATATTTGTTGAACATTTTAAATTTGTTTTCGTATCTATAAAAAAAACCCTATATGAGAATGAATTGTGAGTTACACACTAGATGAAACGAATTTATACTTCTCTTATTTTACACAGATATGACGTGAGACAAAAAAATAGAGATATAATAGCTTTCTTTTTATTCAAATGAAGAAAAAATGAGAAGATAAGATGAATTCTTCTATGAGAATAGAAAACATGTTTAGTTTACTGAAAAAGGTGATTCATACTTTTATCATTTTTGTGTAAAAATAGTGTGAATAGAATAAAGTATACACATCTAATGAATAATATCATCTTGAAAATTGAGAAAATGACTCAATTTTTATGAATGTTTCACTTCGCACTAAAAATTGCAATCGAAACACATCGAAAATCTAACTATATAGTGAGATTCATTCATAGAAAAATTTTAGTTTCATTCTTTTCTTCATATAAATGAGTGTTAATAGAAAATAATAGCCACAGTTTTTAAGACATATTTATTTTAAGATAAAAACATATATTTTTTCGTATAAAAAATATCAAATCGATTGATTCAAAGTATGACTTTCACAAGCATAAGAATTGACGTAAAAATGGAAACAACGAATGATCGATTTTCTCCAAGAATAGAAAGCCCACCATGACTTGGAGTAGTATGTTTTGGAGTTTGCGTTGTTGTTGTTGTAGAAGTTGTAGAGTTATTCGTAGTAACTGTAACAGTTATGTTTCCGGGTGTTGTTGTACTAATTGTAATGGTTATATTTCCACTAGAACTCGTGCCAGTAGTTGAAGTTATAGTTGATGATGTAATGGGTGAAGTACTGGTAATTGCCGAAGTCGATGATGAAGTTGAAGTAGTGTTTTCTGTGGTAGCGCTTGTTACGGTAGTTGCCGTGCTTGATAATGTAGAGCTCGTTGGTGTTGAGAGCGTCGTTGTAGTTATCTCAGTACAAGGTGCACTAAGTGCGCCAGGAGCAGAACGATTACATGCGAATGAAAATCTGAACTCGCATGCATTGTAACAACTGAATTCGTCACAAGACGAAACCAATACACTACCTCGGTAGATTGGTGTACAGTCTGTACCCAAGCAGCAAGAGCATGCACAGACAGCCTCACCATTGGCTGTTGATATATACGTGAATGTGATAAATCCGAGAAGTAGAAGATATTTGCTGTACATTTTGAATTGGAGTTATGCTATTTTAAGACTAGCGTCAAACGTAAATTATGAATGACATAAGCATTAAGGTAGATATATAACGTTTATATATTACAAAACATTGGTGCAAACAAAAAAACTACAACAATGAAAGTCTTTATCATTGCTCTATCATCCAAAGGTATGACGAGAAGAATGAAAGAAAGATAAGATCTTCTTTCTTAGAAGTATAGAAAAAAAATTTTCAATAAATTTTAATTACCATAAATGAGTTTGAAGGTTGTTTAACTGGAAGCTTGAATCAACTGACAAGAATTTTATTTCTTGGCTTTTCCTATTGAATAATTTATCACAGATACTGACAATAAACTGACAAGGAGATGAATAGATATAGTACTGATTAAATCTACAACTGGAATCAATTTGGTCGTAAACAAGACCGTCTGTATTTAATTATTTTCTGACTTCTTTCCACTTGATCTCATAGAGAAGTACGCTTAAAATTTATACAAATATGACTTTAGAAAATAAATGTTAATCAAAAAGTCATTATATTACAATGAAATCATACTATAAACTATTTTGATATTTGAATAATAATAAGCAATAATAAATATGCAAACACGGACGTTTTATTGACGAGGGCACACATAAAAATGTAAGAGTGAAACGTTTATTGATATTAATATTTGTATTATTTTGCAAAACAGAAAAAAAAGAAGAAAGAAGAAGAATCCTTTTGTTTTTCTTCTTTGTTTTTAAGATATTTCTCTCTCTCTCTCTCTCGATATATATATATACTATATAATATTTCTATAATAACTGTTTCTAACATCGAGCAAGAACTTCACCATTTCGAATATATAAATAAAGTCGTTGATCAACTGGTAACGAAATGGGTAATGAAACTTGACGATGTCTTGGTAATCTATCACGTCGCGATGTACGTAGTTGAACAGGTGAACTTGCTCTTGTTGTTGTTAAACTTTCATTTGGTGACATTGTTGAATAGTGTTCAAGATAATGTCGCCGTAACGTATCGGAATGTTCTTGTTCATGTTGAAGATTATTCAATGGTTCAACAGTTGCTGTTGCTTTAACTTGATTAAGATTATTATCATTTTTATCATCAGAATGTTTACGATCTGCATGAATGCGAATATTTAGTTTCGACTCATACGGTAAACTTGCATTCAATGATATTCGTTGGCCACGTTTTTTAATCATATTTGAATCAGAACTACAATATTCATTTGGATTTTCTTGTTGAAATATATGTTGGCTAGATGAACGACGTGGCAGAACTGACGATGATTTTTCATCATTCCAATGAACATTGCGGCCATGTGATTGATAACGTGGCATTGTATCATGCATAGTCGACATTTCTGTAGTTTCGTCGTTTAAGTGAACACTTACGTGACGTTGATTATAATCAATGGGTGGATAAAGAAAAAAATGTAAAACACTTGTTTGTGGTGATGGCGATGTTAATTGATCGAATGGAAGTTCAAGTGAACTTTTTTGTGTACTTGAAATTTCCGATGTTACTGAGCAACACGATGATGATGATCGAATTGGTACTCCACTATCACGTGATGATGGAGTTGTTGTACGAAAGAATTCGTTTGGCGATTGATGAAGAACGTCAAGTTCTTGTAATTTTGTTTGCAAGTCGTTAAACCGTTCTCTAAATTAGTTAAATAAAATTAAAATAGAATTTTTTTTCTCGTTGGTAATCAAAATCATAGAAATTTTTCTTTTTTTCTTTTGAGAAAAATTCTTAGTATAAAAAACAGATACTTACTCTGGTTCTGTATAAGAAAAAAGATTGACAAGCGTATAGAACATGTTGCTATTGTGATCTATGTACGGATTTGTCATTTGCGAGCAAAAATTTTTCCTTTGTATCGTATTTATGGGAGACAAATATGAGAGAACGTGTCGTAAAACAATTTATGATATTTTAATGTTATCATGTATATGTCTATGTGTAATTTAATGATTATTCAATTCAAATTATGTGGTTGACTGAGCTTCAAAGCAAGGTCTTCGCATGAAATACGATGTTCAAATCCGTCTCGTTTATGATGCTCACTCAACAGAGAGAGCGATGATGGAGAAATGTACAAGCAGTTTGGATTAGATTACATTTATAAGAAGACATTCAAATCTCGAAATTGGACACCATCGAAAATGAATGTCCTTCGATCAGTTTAAGTGTGAACTCTATTTATCATCAGTTCTCATTCGTGTTCGTACGTGCGTGTGATGAACTAACTCATAAAAAAAAAGAGAAGAGTGAGAACGAAGAAAGAATTTCATTTCTTAGCACACATCCAGAAAAAAGGTCGAATGCATGTCTGCCCTTAACTTATATATTATTTCATGCTCTAGAGAGAGAATTTCTTCTTCTTTTTTATTTTTATCGAAAATGATTACTTGATAGCATCGTCCTTTCGTCGAAGTTCATTATAACGTTGATATGAATAAAACAATCGCTCGTATGTTGATGTCCGTGGTTGTTGCTCATCATTTAGCGACGCCATATTTAAGTCGTTTTTTTCAATTGTATGAGTAAAATCAGTTTCTATTTTATTCAATGTATGATAAATGCTGCTCATTGCTCCTCTTTACTTTTTACAAAATGAAATGTTAGGATAAAAGATAGAACAGGATAAATAAAAGCAACGCCGAGAAGAGAATGGAAGAGCGAGAGAGCAGCGAACAATTCAATTTATACATATATACAACTTCGGATAAAGTTATATACACAAATATGAACAATACAATGAGTTCCATTATCGCTTTTTATTACCTGGCTGTCCGATATCTATTGATACTACGATTGGCGTCATTGACCCTTTCTCTCTCCCTCTGTCTTTCGTTTCACTGAAATATGATAAGATAAAGCTTGCATATACACAAAGAGAGCATACATCAAACAAGTAAAACTTACTGAATTCAAAAATATTTTAGTATAAATTATATGATCTATATCTAGTTGACTGTCTCAGTCAAGTATGTGCATTTCTTGTTAGAATGGAAATAGAGACAACATGAACTCGATAAGTATACTTCGCACATATGTCTTTATGCCCTACCTGTATTAGACGATAAATTGATGTTGTTGTTGTATTTCTATCTTTCTTCCTTTCGGTTTTTTTTTCTGTGTGTGTAGAAGTATGGAAGGGGATTGCGAATGTTTGCACACCTATTACAGATTCAATCGCCTTCTTACTCTTATTTGCGTTTGTTTGTGTATGTTGTGTTTCTTTTTGGTTATAAACTTTTCAATGCACTACTTGATTTGAGTGTATGCGTGTGCGCCTTTGAAGCCGTATTTCACTCCATATAGATACTCACAAAAAAAATCGAGGCGAAGAAGCGAGAGGGAAAAAGGAAGAAGAAGCCGCCGACGTTGTTGGTTGCTTATTTCGATTTTTTCTTTCATATTACAATCGACCACAAAGGTCCGTGCGGATCTGTTTTTGGTCCATCGAATCAAATAAAAAGAACGATAAAGAAAAAGAAAAATTACTTTATACAAAAAAAAAAAACGAAAAAAGAATCGAAAGGTATCAATCGGTGTTGAATATATGATATCTTTAAAAAGTATTATTTAAGTAAACTATCGACGTATTGCAAATCAATTTTTGTTTATCAATTATTTAGATAAATATACTTTTATTAATCAAACGAATGAATAAAAGATTTTGAGACCGGAAAATAATTGATGCCATTGAAAAAGAAAAGACATTGGCATCTATTTAATATGTAACGTAATCGAATAATCTATATAGTGAAAAGAAGTACAGATTTTTTCAAGTTTTTCTTTTTCTGAATGACCCATTGAAATCAAGGGCGAACATTTTTTTTTTCTGACAATTATTATTTCGTTTGTAACTTGGTTATATACTATTCTATTACCAAGTAGTATATTAACTATACGTCTTGTATTTCAAAGAGATTAAATTGAGCTAATTCTCTTCTTTTTTTTCTTCTTTTTTTGTTACGATGGATTTACAAATCTTACATGTGAGCACATTCAATTAGAGAACAAGTTTATAAACTGTTGATGAAATGAACGTCTAACAAAGTCTTTTGTCTGGCCAGTAGCGTCTTTTTTTTTGAAAGAAGTGAATTATCATCAGTTATGTTAAAGATACTTTTGGATTTTGGAATATCAGCATCGCGAAGGGACTTGTATTTATCACTTTGCATCGTTACTATGAAGTGTCGCAAATAAAAACTACGAAATATTTTGTTTTTCCAATTGAAAATGACTGATTTTTTAAATATTGTGGTCAGAATTAATAATTTTAAGCTGTACTTGTAGAATTTAATCCTATCAATAAAAAATTGCCTATGGGATCTGCGAGTTAAAAGAAAATCAATCGATTTCGTCTGATTTATAATCATCTGATTTTGCAGAGCAATAACTGCGACGTCGATTCCATTTCTAGAAATACAATTGTATTTCACTCACTGGTTTATTTTATTTGAAATTACATATCGAAATAAGAAATGATAACAGAAAAATTAAAATGAAAGAGAAACTCAATAATTATTTCGTTTATTTTATATGTACGAAAAATAAAATTACGTTAAATGTTCATTTGTGCTTTTTGCAATTGAAAGAATAATTTTCAGAATGTGTTGATTTTATCTAAAAATCGAATGAATAGAATTATTTAATATTGTACATTTTCCTTTCTTACTATGTTCAATTCTATTTTACGATAGGCAAATGAATAATAGAATACCAGTCCAAATAGAATCCAAATCGATGCAAAAATAAAACTAATACTAGGTGATGAAATTAAAGGAGCAATAACTAAATACATGGAGATAAGAACAATGATCATAATCAATGGAATTGGAACCTAAATAAATATACTATAATATTCATTTAATTTTTTCTCGTAATACACGACTTTCGACACGGACGCTTATCACTCGTTTAATATTTCGTTTTGTAAATTTACAGCAAAGTGTAGCAACAAATGTAAATCCATAAAAAATTCATGCACTGAAGCTGAAAAAGTTGATTAAATTTTCAATATTACTCGGAAGACAACTAAGTATTGCAAGCATGTCCTTTAAAGAAGAAAACCATTAAGTTGTCATTATTAGTTAAACATGTAAGAAAAAAGTAGACAATAACCTCGAAAACAATACCGGACATTGGAGCCAATCGTGTTTTATGAATACAGGCAAATACTTCTGGTAAATAGCCATATTGAACGCCAACCATACAATATTGCGCAACTCCAAACAAACTTCCATTGACACTACCTAATGCGCAAATAAGTATCAAAATGGGTAGAACACGTACAGCCGGACCCAGTACGGCTTCGCCCCATGTCTATCAAATAGAAAATTGATTATTCACATTAAGACAAACACTTGAAGCTTTCTATTCTTCTGCATACGACTGCGACAACTTTTGAAGCAAGTAGTGTTTCTTTGTTCATTACAGTGAAATAAGAGATATTAGTAAGAACATAAAGAACGATAACACCAGGTAAAGTCAGTACAATCGATAACCATAAATTTCTACAAAATACAAATACATGTATAATCAAATTTTATTTTTCAAATGAAAAAAATAGTTTAAACCTTTTGGGATTTTCCAATTCTTCTGTCATTGAATTTAGACTATTCCATCCTTTATATGTCCAAAGACCAGAATAAAATGCAATTGCAATACCAAATTCATTCTTTGTTGTTCCTATGATATCGTAGCATCATATTTATATTCGTTTCATTATCATAATTTGTTACAGTCTACCAACAAAATCATTTTCAAAGTTTTGTGTATCTCCTATAAAGAGATGTTTAATCATTTACTTTAATTTTCGAAGTAGATTGCAATATAAACCTTGTCCTATTCGTACAAGACCAACATCTACTACTATCAGAAACAGTCCACACTGTACTGATAACAAACACAATATTCAAACGATTGGCCAAAGACACACGAATTGAATTAACGTTCATCAACATTACTAAAACTAGATGGTATTCGAGTTCCACTCGACTACGAAATGCGATGCGAAGCAGGAATCTGAATCCACGAAAAATCTTCAATTCAAAGAAATCTTGAATACTTTTTATGTCGACATGATGAAATTCATCACTGAGAAAACTCTATTCTTACTTAGCGATACATTTTTAAGGATCGATTTCGATTGATCGATTAATTATCTCCATGATTCATTATCTTAGATCAGCTGTAAATGAAGAGACTATAGTGGCTAACATATGTTCATGACGTCATTTTAATTATCTCGAAACAAACTCCTTTCATTTTCGTCATTTTGGAATCACATTTATAAGTGAACGGAACTTCAGTTTAAAGATTCGAAAACAGATGTTCTCAGTTCGATCTTGATACTTCGATCTCACGTTTC